ATCGTTAAGTCACGTGGTACGCGTTAACAGCGTTCTGGGTCCGGGAAAATTCACATACGAGATAGATGCAAACCGAAAAATTCTTTGACTAGTTTTTTCCACTTTTCTCGGTTTTTTTGATTTGTTTTGCACTCAATATCATATTGACAATCCAAGCAGTCGGAACAGGACTTGTTTCTGAAGTGGTGCCGGCTAAATTCACATTCTTACTCAAATATACCCAAAGAGGACTACAGTCCGTTTAATGCAATCGCTGACGTTAGTTTTTGATTGTTTCGATGTCACTTGCATCGTTAAGTCACGTGGTACGCGTCAACAGCGTTCTGGGTCCGGGAAAATTCACATACGAGATAGATGCAAACCGAAAAATTCTTTGACTAGTTTTTTCCATTTTTCTCGGTTTGTTTTGATTTGTTTTGCACTCAATATCCGACTTGACAATCCAAGCAGTCGGAACAGGACTTGTTTCTAAATTGGTGCCGGCTAAATTCACATTCTTACTCAAATATATAAAAGAGGACTACAGTCCGTTTAAATGCAATCGCTGACTTTAGTTTTTGATTGTTTTGATGTCACTTGCATCGTTAAGTCACGTGGTACGCTTTAACAGCGTTCTGGGCCCGGGGAAAATTCACATACGAGATAGATGCAAACCGAAAAATTCTTTGACTAGTTTTTTCCACTTTTCTCGGTTTGTTTTGATTTGTTTTGCACTCAATATCAGTACTTGGAAATCCAAGCAGTCGGAACAGGATTTTTTTCTGAAGTGGTGCCGGCTATACTCACATTCTTACTCAAATTTTCCAAGAGGACTACAGTCCGTTTATATGCAATCGCTGACGTTAGTTTTTGATTGTTTTGATGTCACTTGCATCTTTAAGTCACGTGGTACGCTTTAACAGCGTTCTGGGTCCGGGAAAATTCACATACGAGATAGATGCAAACCGAAAAATTCTTTGACTAGTTTTTTCCACTTTTCTGGGTTTGTTTTGATTTGTTTTGCACTCAATACCCGACTTGACAATCCAAGCAGTCGGAACAGGACTTTTTTTCTAAATTGGTGCCGGCTAAATTCACATTCTTACTCAAATATATCAAAGAGGACTACAGTCCTTTTAAATGCAATCGCTGACGTTAGTTTTTGATTGTTTCGATGTCACTTGCATCGTTAAGTCACGTGGTACGCGTCAACAGCGTTCTGGGTCCGGGAAAATTCACATACGAGAAAGATGCAAACCAAAAAATTTCTTTGACTAGTTTTTTCCACTTTTCTCGGTTTGTTTTGATTTGTTTTGCACTCAATACCCGATCTTGACAACCCAAAGCAGTCGGAACAGGACTTTTTTCTGACTTGGTGCCGGCAAAATTCACATTCTTACTCAAATATATCAAAGAGGACTACAGTCCGTTAAATGCAATCGCTGACGTTAGTTTTTGATTGTTTTGATGTCACTTGCATCGTTAAGTCACGTGGTACGCGTCAACAGCGTCCTGGGTCCGGGAAAATTCACATACGAGATAGATGCAAACCGAAAAATTCTTTGACTAGTTTTTTCCACTTTTCTCGGTTTGTTTTGATTTGTTTTGCACTCAATGTCCGGTCTTGACAATCCAAGCAGTCAGAACAGGACTTGATTCTGTTTTGGGTCCCGGCTAAATTCACATTCTTATTGAATATATCAAAGGAGACTCAATTTGTTTACATGCAATTGCTGACGTTAGTTTTTGATTGTTTTCACGTCACTTGCTTTGTTAAATCACGCGGTACGCTTCAACAGCGTCATGGGTCCAGACTTAATACACTGTAAAAACGGTTATGACTTTTTACAACGAATTTTTTATGAAATTTTTTATTATTGATGTGAGAAGTCATAACATCGACCGATTCATAACTTTTTCATAACGCTATCATGACAAGTCGCTTGTGATAAATTTTTCATAACATAGTTATGATTTCGTTATAAATTTTTCATAACACACTCGCCTGCCGCGGCGGGGTGTCATATACCTGCGCCATCCTTCTCCCTATAACGCACTTAGTGTAGCCCCGTGGTGACGCCTTCTACGTCCTGCGGAACCACAAGTACACCGGCGCCATCCACGAGGCGCTCAAGGACTTCGAGGAAGTCGCGGGGCTGACCGTCAACGCGAGCAAGTCCGGCGCGCTCCCCGCCGGAGGCTGGAACGAGGAGGTTGGCATTGGCTTCCCGTACGTTTAACAACTAAAGATCCTTGGCATTGTCTTCACCCGGAACGTCAAAAGAACCCCCAACAAACCTTAAAAGTCTACGAAGGGTTTGCTTCATAACTACAAAGAAAATAAAGGCATTTTAGAATTACTTTGTAGCCCAGCCGAACCCGAGTCAGCCGCCTCTACGGGTTCGAAGGGCCAAAGAACGGCTCGAAAAGTCACCATTTTCAAAGTCACATCCAAAGCTCGATGGGTCCTACTGACAAAGTGCGATCTCCAAACGACGCGCAAACAAAGTGCGATCTCCAAAGCCCGGACAGACAAAGTTCGATCTCCACGGGACTGCCCAAATTTGAGGTTATGTTGCTCTGCTAAAATAGTCTTTTCAGCGCGATGCCAAATTATTTTGCGGAAACAGTTACTGTGCTAAAAAAATTAGTGCATTATCTAAACATAGGTGTAAAAGCTAGCAATAGAACGAAATAAAATCATTTTAAAATGGCCACTTTAAAATAGATTCGCGTGCCCCGTATTTGAGCACATCGAACTTTGTTTAGCGGGACATTGGAGATCGAACTTTGTTTGCGCGTCGTTTGGAGATCGCATTTTGTCTGTATGACAGCGCGTTTCAGAGCTCGCTGATCATTTCTATACCTATTAAAATTTTTCCCAAGCGTAGCCGTCAAAATTGCCATAGAAAGGTCCCGTTTTCACCCAAAGTCCTTGTTTTTTCTGCTTTTTACGGCACCATTCTCAAAATACCCCATTTCTTCCAAATTTTGTTTCTGCTCCAGTCCCTTTTGTTCGGCAGCGGCCATTGACCTGCTCGAGGGTCGGGCCGCCCAGGCATTTGGGCCCCCGGGCCCCAGCCCGGCCCAACCCGGACCCCCTTATCGTCAAAAAAAAGGGGCTGGCGCTCCTACTAAAATTTTTAAATTTTGAAGAAAAAAGGGGATTTGAGAATGGTGCCGTAATGAGCAGAAAAAAAATAGGAATTTGGGTGAAAACGGGATCTTTCTACGGCAATTTTGGCGGCAACGCATAGGAAAAACTTAATAGGTATGGAACTGATCAGCGCGCTTTGAAACGCGCTTTGGATTTGATTTTGAAAATGGTGTCATCATGGGCCAATCTTTGGCACTTGGAGCCTGTGGACTGACGTTCTTCTGGAACCGCATCGAGGCATCGCAGGCCGGCAGGTAGGCTCCCGTCGGCCCAGATGGCCGAGTGCAGCCCGTCGGCGCAGTGCAGGGCCGGCGGGGTGCGGGAGGGGCGGCGGGGGCCTCGGGGCCCGGGCCTTTGATTCGCCTAGTCGGCCTGGGCTCAGCGCGCCTCCAGCGGCTAAGTCCCGATTTTCGTTCGGCGTTTTACAGTTTCCGGCCACAACCCTTCAAGGTATTGAAACCGGGTTACAGGAACTTCTTATTGAAGCTAGTGGCTACAACACTGTTGAACGCTTTTTCCCGTATTTTGGCTGGAAGACCCGGGGCAGTTTTCGGCTAATTTCAGCCAAACGAAAAATTTTGGAATTTTTTGAACAGGCTGGCGTCGAGGCTGGTTCATCTCGAGTGCCCCTGCAAAGTTTCAACTCGATACGACAACGCGTTTGGGCGCAATCGAGACACATGTAACGCCGCGCGGGCTCCAAACGCGCCCTCCGCCGAGCCTTTAGCGGGCCCTTAAAACACGCGGTACGCGTCAACAGCGTTCTGGGTCCGGGGTAATTATTATTGTAGGAAGATGATTATTTAGAAATTCTCTGTCTCACGTTTCTTTTTTTTTCTTGGTTCGTTTCAATTTATTTTGCACTTGGATAGAGATATCGGTGATCCAAAAATCGGAACACTGAAGCGTAACTCTATGCTTTAGTCAAGCATAAAGTTACGCTTGAAGACGTCCCGCTTGAAATGAAGCATACTCGGGAAATTTCCCCATGCATTTAGGTGGGGGGAGTCTTGGTTCTTGGCCGGTGAGCCTGTTACGCTTCATTTCAAGCGTAAACTGGTTCTGCGTGAAAACAGAGGGTAAAACTACGCTTCAGTTGCTTTACCAGTGAACCTTCGCGCTGAAGTTACCTTAGAACGGGAAATGAATCGAAGAAACCCCCCGAGAGCGAGATATGACCAGCAGCCTGCTTTTGGTGGAGGCTCAACACCCTAAAAAAATGGCCGTTTTCGATACGTAGATGGGCATGGGGAACCAACTGGTCAAAGGAAAGACCGAAACGGGCGCCTAAGACCAAAAACTACGATTTCACGAAATCCTAGTAGTCACGAAGTTACTTTCATGTTCTGGTTTCACAAAAAACCTGGGGCAAGAACTGCGCTGAGTTCATTTTACGTTTCGTACGGTGTCCAAATATCTATAAGACTAAAACTTGCAAAAAAGACCAGCCGCGTAATAATTTTTTTTCTAAAACACAGTCTCAAAGACAGTCTATAAGTCTCTAAAACGTACATAAAAACAGTTCATTTCACCCAGGCTCAAAAGTTTTGAGGTATGAAAAGTGCACAGCCGCTGTGCCCAGATCGTTTCGTCTTAGATTCAGAAGTACTTTACACCTCGCTATATTGAGAAGCTACATGATCAGCTTTTTCAAAAAGGGACTTAATGTGACTACTCTCAAACTACATGAAGGAAAGATAATTCACAGGTGCATGTGCACAGGTACGCAGTTAAATGGCTAAATTCACTCCGATTTGGAGAGTAACGAAAATTTGAAGTTGGCATTTCTGAAAACAACAAGATACACAACGCAGCGGCGCGAGAACACTCTTATCAACAATAGCTGTCCGGCCGGCCGATCCAAATGGCCACGTTTGAAAACAACGTCAATGCTATTGTTGGATCTCTTCTAGGTTCAGTGAAGGACAATTTTGCTTCGAACGCGCTTTTTCAGGGAAGCGAGCGTTTTGGGGGTAAGCTAGCGAAAAAGAGCTCTGCTATCGGTCGGGTTCGGCTCGGCTCCCCCCACTCCCCTTTTGCTTGACGAGTCGAGTTTTGCCATGGAAAGTGATTTTGACGGCAAATTTCTCAAAGCGAGTCGTTAACTTTTTGACCATAATTCATCATAAGAATCACCGTTCTACCAGTCTGCAAAATCACATTAAAAAGCTACCTAAAATTTTCAAAATGCATAAAGGGCCACACGAATTGAATCTCGGCCCGGCTGAATCCTGGGTATACTTTAAGGCTAATTCGTGCCTAAGATGTGTGCTCTTTCGAATTCAAGCACCTCCTGATTAGCTGTCCCAGATACATCCCCACCGCCACCGGCCGGCGAGGGATTACCGGCTATCCCCGGTCCCGGCTTACCTGCCCGGCCTCAGGTTAGCTCGCCTCTCGGGTGCCGGGACAACAAACCAGAGGGTACTGTACTGGGTCTCGCAAGGCTCTAAGAGACTTTTTGTCACGTCATAATTTGGCCTTATATCCGACCATTCGATTTTCTGTGATTCTTCTTTCGGCATTTGCGCTCGTTTGCGTGTGGAGAAACTAATTAATGGCTGATTCAACCGATGTGAAGTTAGCGTGACCCAAACTTGCCAGCCCGCAAACAAATTCACCAATCGTTAGTTTTTCGTTAGTTTTTGTTTGTTTTGATAAAATCAGGTTTTGTTTTATTATAGCTTTCAAATTTAAACACATTTTAAGGGTCCGCCAACTGCGCGTGAAGACAGCGAGACCCAAACGCCTACAAACTCCCCAAAACAGCTAAAATTACACGTTTTGTTAGTTTTTGATTGTTTTGATGTCATATGCTACTTCAAATAGCGCATTACACAGCAAAAGGTAAGTACATCCGAAAAATTTCCAAAATGTTAAAAACAGATAGGATAATCATTTACCTTTTTTTTTCGCATTTCTCGGTTTGTTTTGATTTGTTTTGCACTCAATATCCGATCTTGACAATCCAAGCAGTCGGAACAGGACTTGTTTCTGACTTGGTGCCGGCTAAATTCACATTCTTACTCAAATATATCAAAGAGGACTACAGTCCGTTTAAATGCAATCGCTGACGTTAGTTTTTGATTGTTTCGATGTCACTTGCATCGTTAAGACACGTGGTACGCGTCAACAGCGTTCTGGGTCCGGGAAAATTCACATACGAGATAGATGCAAACCGAAAAATTCTTTGACTAGTTTTTTCCACTTTTCTCGGTTTGTTTTGATTTGTTTTGCACTCAATATCAGTACTTGGAAATCCAAGCAGTCGGAACAGGACTTTTTTCTGAAGTGGTGCCGGCTATACTCACATTCTTACTCAAATATATCCAAGAGGACTACAGTCCGTTTATATGCAATCGCTGACGTTAGTTTTTGATTGTTTTGATGTCACTTGCATCGTTAAGTCACGTGGTACGCGTTAACAGCGTTCTGGGTCCGGGAAAATTCACATACGAGATAGATGCAAACCGAAAAATTCTTTGACTAGTTTTTTCCACTTTTCTCGGTTTGTTTTGATTTGTTTTGCACTCAATATCCGATCGTGACAATCCAAGCAGTCGGAACAGGACTTGTTTCTGACTTGGTGCCGGCTAAATTCACATTCTTACTCAAATATATCAAAGAGGACTACAGTCCGTTCAAATGCAATCGCTGACGTTAGTTTTTGATTGTTTCGATGTCACTTGCATCGTTAAGTCACGTGGTACGCGTCAACAGCGTTCTGGGTCCGGGAAAATTCACATACGAGAAAGATGCAAACCGAAAAATTCTTTGACTAGTTTTTTCCACTTTTCTCGGTTTGTTTTGATTTGTTTTGCACTCAATATCCGATCTTGACAATCCAAGCAGTCGGAACAGGACTTGTTTCTGACTTGGTGCCGGCTAAATTCACATTCTTACTCAAATATATCAAAGAGGACTACAGTCCGTTCAAATGCAATCGCTGACGTTAGTTTTTGATTGTTTTGATGTCACTTGCCTCGTTAAGTCACGTGGTACGCGTCAACAGCGTCCTGGGTCCGGGAAAATTCACATACGAGATAGATGCAAACCGAAAAATTCTTTGACTAGTTTTTTCCACTTTTCTCGGTTTGTTTTGATTTGTTTTGCACTCAATGTCCGGTCTTGACAATCCAAGCAGTCAGAACAGGACTTGATTCTGATTTGGTGCCGGCTAAATTCACATTCTTATTGAATATATCAAAGGAGACTGCAATTTGTTTACATGCAATTGCTGACGTTAGTTTTTGATTGTTTTCACGTCACTTGCTTTGTTAAATCACGCGGTACGCTTCAACAGCGTCATGGGTCCAGACTTAATACACTGTAAAAACGGTTATGACTTTTTACAACGAATTTTTTATGAAATTTTTTATTATTGATGTGAGAAGTCATAACATCGACCGATTCATAACTTTTTCATAACGCTATCATGACAAGTCGCTTGTGATGAATTTTCATAACATAGTTATGATTTCGTTATGAATTTTCATAACACACTCGCCTGCCGCGGCGGGGTGTCATATACCTGCGCCATCCTTCTCCCTATAACGCACTTAGTGTAGCCCAGTGGTGACGCCTTCTACGTCCTGCGGAACCACAAGTACACCGGCGCCATCCACGAGGCGCTCAAGGACTTCGAGGAAGTCGCGGGGCTGACCGTCAACGCGAGCAAGTCCGGCGCGCTCCCCGCCGGAGGCTGGAACGAGGAGGTTGGCATTGGCTTCCCGTACGCTGAACAACTAAAGATCCTTGGCATTGTCTTCACCAGGAACGTCAACAAGACCTCCAGCAAACTCTTAAAAGTCTACGAAGGATTTGCTTCATAACTACAAAGAAAATAAAGGCATTGTAGAATTACTTTGTAGCCCAGCCTAGAGCCCTAGAGTGGAGAGAGACGCCACCGCCAGTGCGTGAGCGCGCGCGCGCGGTCAGTGCTGCGCGTGGTTTGCCATACTTTGCTCTGCTTTGCTGCGAGCCAGTGTCTCCCCGGCTCGGCTCGGCCCGCGCGGCTAAGGGCTCGGCTTGGCTCCACTCGTACCGACGTTGCCAGATTGCCGGTCGGAAGGGATGCGCAGGACTCTGCAGGCAGCGGGTGGGTCCGAGGGCTAAGTTCTTTTATTGCTTCCAAACCGTTCAAGTTAGGTGGGTACAGTAAGCGAGCCGATTGTAGTTCACAGTTCAGGCTACAATCGGCTCGCTCACTATGCACCTCTAACTTTAACGGTTTAGAAGTTTTGCCAGTAATAAGGTCTTTTGTAGCAGTAGCTAAACCGTCCTATGTTGCCACATTACACCGTTTTTCACCCAACTATGGAAAATTGTGCATCCGGATGTCTGATCGGGGTGGCGTCTCTCTCCACTCTAGGGCTCTAGCCCAGCCGAACCCGAGTCAGCCGCCTCTACGGGTTCGAAGGGCCAAAGAACGGCTCGAAAAGTCACCATTTTCAAAGTCACATCCAAAGCTCGATGGGTCCTACTGACAAAGTGCGATCTCCAAACGACGCGCAAACAAAGTGCGATCTCCAAAGCCCGGACAGACAAAGTTCGATCTCCACGGGACTGCCCAAATTTGAGGTTATGTTGCTCTGCTAAAATAGTCTTTTTCAGCGCGATGCCAAATTATTTTGCGGAAACAGTTACTGTGCTAAAAAGATTAGTGCATTATCTAAACATAGGTGTAAAAGCTAGCAATAGAACGAAATAAAATCATTTAATATGGCCACTTTAAAATAGATTCGCGTGCCCCGTATTTGAGCACATCGAACTTTGTTTAGCGGGACATTGGAGATCGAACTTTGTTTGCGCGTCGTTTGGAGATCGCATTTTGTCTGTATGACAGCGCGTTTCAGAGCTCGCTGATCATTTCTATACCTATTAAAATTTTCCGAAGCGTAGCCGTCAAAATTGCCATAGAAAGGTCCCGTTTTCACCCAAAGTCCTTGTTTTTTCTGCTTTTTACGGCAACATTCTCAAAATACCCCATTTCTTCCAAATTTTGTTTCTGCTCCAGTCCCTTTTGTTCGGCAGCGGCCATTGACCTGCTCGAGGGTCGGGCCGCCCAGGCATGTGGCCCCGGACCCCAGCCCGGCCCAACCCGGACCCCATTATCGTCAAACAAAAGGGACTGGCGCTCCTACTAAATTTTGAAATTTTGAAGAAAAAGGGTATTTGAGAATGGTGCCGTAATGAGCAGAAAAAACTAGGAATTTGGGTGAAAACGGGATCTTTCTACGGCAATTTTGGCGGCAACGCATAGGAAAATCTTAATAGGTATGGAACTGATCAGCGCGCTTTGAAACGCGCTTTGGATTTGATTTTGAAAATGGTGTCATCATGGGCCAATCTTTGGCACTTGGAGCCTGTGGACTGACGTTCTTCTGGAACCGCATCGAGGCATCGCAGGCCGGCAGGTAGGCTCCCGTCGGCCCAGATGGCCGAGTGCAGCCCGTCGGCGCAGTGCAGGGCCGGCGGGGTGCGGGAGGGGCGGCGGGGGCCTCGGGGCCGGTCCTTTGATTCGCCTAGTCGGCCTGGGCTCAGCGCGCCTCCAGCGGCTAAGTCCCGATTTTCGTTCGGCGTTTTACAGTTTCCGGCCACACCGTTCAAGGTATTGAAACCGGGTTACAGGAACTTCTTATTGAAGCTAGTGGCTACAACACTGTTGAACGCTTTTTCCCGTATTTTGGCTGGAAGACCCGGGGCAGTTTTCGGCTAATTTCAGCCAAACGAAAAATTTTGGAATTTTTTGAACAGGCTGGCGTCGAGGCTGGTTCATCTCGAGTGCCCCTGCAAAGTTTCAACTCGATACGACAACGCGTTTGGGCGCAATCGAGACACATGTAACGCCGCGCGGGCTCCAAACGCGCCCTCCGCCGAGCCTTTAGCGGGCCCTTAAATCACGCGGTACGCGTCAACAGCGTTCTGGGTCCGGGGTAATTATTATTGTAGGAAGATGATTATTGAGAAATTCTCTGTCTCACGTTTCTTTTTATTCTTGGTTCGTTTCAATTTATTTTGCACTTGGATAGAGATATCGGTGATCCAAGAAGTCGGAACACTGAAGCGTAACTCTATGCTTGAGTCAAGCATAAAGTTACGCTTGAAGACGTCCCGCTTGAAATGAAGCATACTCGGGAAATTTCCCCATGCATTTAGGTGGGGGCAGTCTTGGTTCTTGGCCGGTGAGCCTGTTACGCTTCATTTCAAGCGTAAACTGGTTCTGCGTGAAAACAGAGGGTAAAACTACGCTTCAGTTGCTTTACCAGTGAACCTTCGCGCTGAAGTTACCTTAGAACGGGAAAATGAATCGAAGAAGTGAAAAATGTGTAAGCCAACCTTTTACGACAAAATAGTATGCGCAGGGAGATTTTTAAAGTTATAGCCTGAATGGGAAGGAAAAAGGCTCTGCGACTGGGCAGGGCATAGAATGTGTCTCCCCAATGAAAAATTTAGTAAATACTGATAAGACATCAAAGTTTTAACAAATTTTCACAGTGGGACCCATTTAGTAGAAAATAGCATTATCACCAGAACCTCCCCTTAAGAGACTTTGTTATTCTTACCTTTTGTGTCCACTGACGTTGAATTTGCCTCTACTTACCTCTACTAACGATTTACTAAAATTATGCTACATACTAGAGCACCGAGCTGTTGACGCGTACCACGTGACTTAACAATGCAAGTGACATCAAAACAATCAAAAACTTACGTCAGCGATTGCATTTAAACGGATTGAAGTCGCCTTCGAAATATTTGAGTAAGAATGTTAATTTAGCCGGCACCAAATCAGAAACAAGTTCTGTTCGGACGGCTTGGATTGTCAAGTACGGATATTGAGTGCAAAACAAATCAAAACAAACCGAGGAAAGTGGAAAAAACTAGTCAAAGAATTTTTCGGTTTGCATCTATCTCGTATGTGAATTTTCCCGGACCCAGAACGCTGTTGACGCGTACCACGTGACTTAACGATGCAAGTGACATCGAAACAATCAAAAACTAACGTCAGCGATTGCATTTGAACGGACTGTAGTCCTCTTTGATATATTTGAGTAAGAATGTGAATTTAGCCGGCACCAAGTCAGAAACAAGTCCTGTTCCGACTGCTTGGATTGTCAAGATCGGATATTGAGTGCAAAACAAATCAAAACAAACCGAGAAAAGTGGAAAAAACTAGTCAAAGAATTTTTCGGTTTGCATCTTTCTCGTATGTGAATTTTCCCGGACCCAGAACGCTGTTGACGCGTACCACGTGACTTAACGATGCAAGTGACATCGAAACAATCAAAAACTAACGTCAGCGATTGCATTGAACGGACTGTAGTCCTCTTGATATATTTGAGTAAGAATGTGTGAATTTAGCCGGCACCAAGTCAGAAACAAGTCCTGTTCCGACTGCTTGGATTGTCACGACGGATATTGAGTGCAAAACAAATCAAAACAAACCGAGAAAAGTGGAAAAAACTAGTCAAAGAATTTTTCGGTTTGCATCTATCTCGTATGTGAATTTTCCCGGACCCAGAACGCGGTTAACGCGTACCACGTGACTTAACGATGCAAGTGACATCAAAACAATCAAAAACTAACGTCAGCGATTGCATATAAACGGACTGTAGTCCTCTTGGATATATTTGTGTAAGAATGTGAGTATAGCCGGCACCACTTCAGAAAAAAGTCCTGTTCCGACTGCTTGGATTTCCAAGTACTGATATTGAGTGCAAAACAAATCAAAACAAACCGAGAAAAGTGGAAAAAACTAGTCAAAGAATTTTTCAGTTTGCATCTATCTCGTATGTGAATTTTCCCGGACCCAGAACGCTGTTGACGCGTACTACGTGACTTAACGATGCAAGTGACATCGAAACAATCAAAAACTAACGTCAGCGATTGCATTTGAACGGACTGTAGTCTCTTTGATATATTTGAGTAAGCATGTGAATTTAGCCGGCACCAAGTCAGAAACAAGTCCTGTTCCGACTGCTTGGATTGTCACGATCGGATATTGAGTGCAAAACAAATCAAAACAAACCGAGAAAAGTGGAAACAACTAGTCAAAGAATTTTTCAGTTTGCATCTATCTCGTATGTGAATTTTCCCGGACCCAGAACGCTGTTGACGCGTACCACGTGTCTTAACGATGCAAGTGACATCAAAAACAATCAAAAACTAACGTCAGCGATTGCATATAAAACGGACTGTAGTCCTCTTGGATATATTTGAGTAAGAATGTGAGTATAGCCGGCACCACTTTAGAAAAAGTCCTGTTCCGACTGCTTGGATTTCCAAGTACTGATATTGAGTGCAAAACAAATCAAAACAAACGAGAAAAGTGGAAAAAACTAGTCAAAGAATTTTTCAGTTTGCTCTATCTCGTATGTGAATTTTCCCGGACCCAGAACGCTGTTGACGCGTACCACGTGTTAACGATGCAAGTGACATCAAAACAATCAAAAACTAACGTCAGCGATTGCATATAAACGGACTGTAGTCCTCTTGGATATATTTGAGTAAGAATGTGAGTATAGCCGGCACCACTTTAGAAAAAAGTCCTGTTCCGACTGCTTGGATTTCCAAGTACTGATATTGAGTGCAAAACAAATCAAAACAAACTGAGAAAAGTGGAAAAAACTAGTCAAAGAATTTTTCAGTTTGCATCTATCTCGTATGTGAATTTTCCCGGACCCAGAACGCTGTTGACGCGTACCACGTGACTTAACGATGCAAGTGACATCAAAACAATCAAAAACTAACGTCAGCGATTGCATTTAACGGACTGTAGTCCTTTGATATATTTGAGTAAGAATGTGAATTTAGCCGGCACCAAGTCAGAAACAAGTCCTGTTCCGACTGCTTGGATTGTCACGATCGGATATTGAGTGCAAAACAAATCAAAACAAACCGAGAAAAGTGGAAAAAATAGTCAAAGAATTTTCAGTTTGCATCTATCTCGTATGTGAATTTTCCCGGACCCAGAACGCTGTTGACGCGTACCACGTGTCTTAACGATGCAAGTGACATCAAAACAATCAAAAACTAACGTCAGCGATTGCATATAAACGGACTGTAGTCCTCTTGGATATATTTGAGTAAGAATGTGAGTATAGCCGGCACCACTTTAGAAAAAAGTCCTGTTCCGACTGCTTGGATTCCGTATGATATTGAGTGCAAAACAAATCAACCAAACCGAGAACAAACCGAGAAAAAAGAAAAAAAGTCAAATCCATATTTCCGGTTGTGATATATCTCGTATGTGAATTTTCCAGCCAACGACAACGAAACACAACAAAACGCGTAACGCGGTACGTGTCCACGTGACTTAACGATGCAAGTGACATCAAAACAATCAAAAATACTAATGTCAGCAATTGCATTAAACGGAAAATAGTAGTCTTTCGATATATTCGATGAGAAGACAAAAGGCGTACCACGTGAACTTCAGCCGGCAACCACTTCAGCAAACAAGTCCTGTTTGAGCGACCACTGGGATTGTCAAGTACTGATATTGAGTGCAAAACAAATCAAAACAAACCGAGAAAAGTGGAAAAAACTAGTCAAAGAATTTTTCGGTTTGCATCTATCTCGTATGTGAATTTTCCCGGACCCAGAACGCTGTTAACGCGTACCACGTGACTTAACGATGCAAGTGACATCAAAACAATCAAAAACTAATGTCAGCGATTGCATTTAAACGGACTATAGTCGTCTTTGATATATTTGAGGAAGAATGTGAACTTAGCCGGCACCACTTCAGAAACAAGTCCTGTTGCGACGGCTGGGATTGTCAAGTACTGATATTGAGTGCAAAACAAATCAAAACAAACCGAGAAAAGTGGAAAAAACTAGTCAAAGAATTTTTCGGTTTGCATCTATCTCGTATGTGAATTTCCCGGACCCAGAACGCTGTTGACGCGTACCACGTGTCTTAACGATGCAAGTGACATCGAAACAATCAAAAACTAACGTCAGCGATTGCATTTAAACGGACTGTAGTCCTCTTTGATATTTGAGTAAGAATGTGAATTTAGCCGCACCAAGTCAGAAACAAGTCCTGTTCCGACTGCTTGGATTGTCAAGATCGGATATTGAGTGCAAAACAAATCAAAACAAACCGAGAAATGCGGAAAATACAAGGTAAATGATTATCCTATCTGTTTTTAACATTTTGGAAATTTTTCGGATGTACTTACCTTTTGCTGTGTAATGCGCTATTTGAAGTGGCATATGACATCAAAACAATCAAAAACTAACAAAACGTGTAATTTTAGCTGTTTTGGGGAGTTTGTAGGCGTTTGGGTCTCGCTGTCTTCACGCGCAGTTGGCGAACCTTTAAAATGTGTTTAAATTTGAAAGCTATAATAAAACAAAACCTGATTTTATCAAAACAAACAAAAACTAACGAAAAACTAACGATTGGTGAATTTTTTTTCGGGCTGGCAAGTTTGGGTCACGCTAACTTCACATCGGTGCATCCTAGTGTAGGGCATATGAATTGTGGTTTTGCTTTGTTGAGAAGAATCCATTGCTGGGACTGTATTTCCTGGTTAAAAGATTGGTCGCTGATCAAATTGAGGCAAACAAGCGTGCCAAAATCCGCTCCCTTTCAAAATATTCCACCAGATGGAAGAATATTTTCTAGATGGGTTCCGAGACGTAAAGTCCTCAAGCCTGCCAAAATTTAGTCATCTCCTTCTTCCATTTCCTGGATCTAATTCTATTCTGTTCCAGGGACCAGAATCGTTTCAGCCCTGAAAGGGTATCGTTCATATACCTTCGTTTGTCCAATATACAGGGCCTCAACATTCGTGAATATATTGTCAGAATGTCAGAAACATGTTAAAAATCCTGATCGAAATTGGCACACCCCTGAAAGACACGACTCTTAAAACTTGTCCTGACATTGATGGCCGAGTTCTACAAAACGTCAGAATAAGCTTTTAACTATTAGAGGTGCGCGAATTTGAACCAGCATTTCAGACAGAACTCGGACATTCTCACAAATTGGACACAGGTGAAGTTAGCGTGTTTCGTGTTCTTTTTTTCCCCAGGTCCGACGACACAGCGTCCCTCAGTGCACCGGAAGATCTTTCTGTGCCGCCTGGAAGTGTGGGGCGTCGACAACGTTATCGCCATGGCACGCTGCGCCGTCGCCGACCTCAGGGTGACCTGCAAGTGGAACGACCGCATGCCAGCGATGAAAATTGGTTTGCTGGTACCGTATAGATGCTGAGAAAACGAACTGGGTGAAGCCGTCAGTGCACAAGTCGACCCCTCTTAGGAACAAGCGGCATTCTTCCAGGAGCTTCCAGACACTCGGCTATCTTTCAATAGCGTTCAGACATTCGGCTACCTTTCTGAGCGCTTCGGAGACTGGGTTAACTGCTTTTCCCACTTCCCGAGTTTGGGTGCGTATATATTTTAAACCAGTGAAATGCCGTCACCGGTACCTAACCAAAATGTGTCAAAAATTTGTCGGGGTAAATAAAAACATGGCGAGACCATGTCTTGTAGAATGTAACAAAGAAAACCTCTATCGACAGAACAACCCGAACCTCTCCGAAGAAGTCAGATAGCTTAGTCTTCGAAGCGTTAACAAAGATGGCCGACTGTCTGGACGCTATTGAAAGATAGCCGAGAGTCTAAAAGCTACTGAGAGATAGCCGAGTGTCTGGAAGCTCCTGGAAGATAGCCGCTTGTTCCTAGGAGGTGTCGAAGTGGGCCTCAAGACCAGTGGGGGAAGCCAAAACTGTAGGCGCGTTTGGAGTCATGAGTCGCCAAAGAGTTGTCCAACCAAACGTATGAGCCTACCAATGGATTCCTCGTTTGCTGAGCAGTCCATTCGTGGGGTCATACGGTCGGTTCAAGTCTCATTCAGTGACTCCGGGACTCAAAACGACTGTAGAACTTCGGCTGCCTCCCAACTCTGGCCCACAGTGCGCCCCTGCGCTTCTAATGCCTAAACTGCACAAATGTCGTGTTTCAGGTTTGCGTGGAGGAGCACTTGAAGTGCAGCTTGAAGGCTTGGGCCGAAAACGCTCAGCAGCCGCCGGAGACACTGGAGCGGCACATGGCAGCCGTGGACCGGTCCGCAAAGTTTCGCGAGTCGCTGGAGGGCCGGTGTGGGGAGCCGGAGGCAAAGAGGGGTGCCCTGGTCGTAGCAAAAGAGCGTCCGCAGCACGCGCAAGAAGAGGTCATGACCGTTTGAGAGAAGACCAACCAGGACGCGATTCAGGCGGGTAAGCGCGCTTAACTACGGTAAGGGAGGGTGGGGCACCTAGTGACAGGGGCACCTGGTGACACGGAGGTGCCCTGGCCCCCCTATGGCACTTTCAGACATCTTGAGGTGGCTAATCTAAAGGTCTTGTGCTGTGGAATCATGTTCAAGTGAGAGTGAGACTTTGAACAAAATATTTAAGCACCTAGAATAAAACCAAGAAAATAATTACCAAAAATCACAGATTTTACGTCTTTTTTACAAAAAGTTTTCTCTCCATTCTTCCAGTAAACGGCACTGCCGATCGTTCTGGCACTTTAAATCAATAATAAGGACCTTTAGTAAGTTGTTTTCGCTGAACCAGCTCAAACATATGATTTCATTTCCTTAATATCAAATTCTGAACGAAAATGAGCCCCCGGGGCAGGTAGTGACAGACACACTCTATTTACCGTATTCTAACGATTTAAACGTTTCAAAACATCGATTGAGCAACCACAAAGTAAATTGTCACCGATTGTCACACAACGAAACATAAATAAGACTAATTTGTACGACAATTTCGTAGAACATTGAATTTGATTGGCAATGTAACAAAATGCAGTTTCTTGGAAAAAATGGCGCCGTTCAGAATGGTTTGATATTTTAAAAAAGCTTAAAGAGCCTAAAACGGATAATTTTCAATTAGCTGGAGCGTCGCTCTATGCTGGTAATGTGAGTTATATGACCTGTCACTAGGTGCCCCGGGCTGGGGCACCAAGTGACAAGTGCAGAGGTCTGCGGGAAGCTATGTAAATAATAGAAATAGGTGTTGTCAAAACGCCACAACATGTTTTTAAGATCAAGGAAGGATCAAAGCAACCTTCTGAAGTGTAAGCAGATTCATTTCTCGCACAGTATCAGAGTGAGATCCAAAATCCAAAAAGTGTCACTAGGTGCCCCACCCTCCCTTACCTATCTTCTGCCAGGTACGAGCCATCCCGTTGAAACAATGAAACAATGTGACAAAATGTCACGTTCTTTTTAGCATTGTGCCACATTCGTTTGAGTGTGGAAGAGCTAACTTTATGGCCGATTTACGTGGAAACGAATGTGGCAAACTGCTCAAAGGAACGTGACATTTTGTCACATTCGTTTCAACGTGATGTCACGTTCCTGGAATGAAAGTGACCCTTCAGGATAGACTCAGTAAGGGCAATCGACTGCGAATGTAGGTGTACAAATCTAATGAATTTCAGTAAATTTTGAGGCAAATTTTTTTTACTTTAAAGGATAATTTTGATAAATTGCAACAAATTTTTTGTAAACTTTTGGTGACGTTTTGGTGTGCGAATTTGGCTGGAGTAATTTTCCCTTTTCTGTGAATTTTGGTGTACATAGCAGTGTTGCCAGGGGCTACTGCGAAAAGTAGGCCAAACGCACCTGTGTGCGACAGGCTACATCTCCTCCTGCCTATTAGGCAACTTCTCGCCACCGTTGCCACCGTAGCAGGCGGATGCAGCCCATCCCACCCACTTCAAGCCCAACTGTCTAATAAGTACACACAAAGTACAAATGCTTGCTTGGCAAGTGCACATTTACAAATGCCTGGAGCAATGAGTTGGACGGCGTCAAGGATACAAGTGTGTAATTAGCCAAGTACACTGAGAATGAAAGAGTCATGATCATGACTAAAATTCTGGGTGAGGAATTCTTTATTACCCAAATTTGGGTGAGGAAATTTTCCTCGCCCAAATTTGGGTGAGGAAACTTTCCTCGCCCAAATTTGGGTCATAATACTATGGAGCTAAATAGGGAGCTGATACACCCTTTCTCACCCAAAATTGGGCGAGGAAGCTTTCCTCGCCCAAATTGGGCGAGGAAACGTTCCTCGCCCAAATTTGGGTGAGAAAGTAAACCTCGCCCAAAATTGGGTATTGATCATGACTTTTTCATTCTCAGTGTAACGTGAAAGCTGGTAATATGGGCCACCAGTGGGTAACGTCGACCAGTGGACCACCCATAAGACTCTTCTATGTGGCCAGTGATACCGCCTTCCTGTGGCATGGAAAACCGTTTCGGCCGCTACCATCCGAACTTGTGGGTTACGTGGCTCGAACCGATCATTTGGAAGAATTTCACGGACGGTCCACATTACCCACTGTGGTCCATCCCGCATTTGCGGTTGCGTTTGTAGGTGCGTACTTGCGAGCACGCATTTGTAAGTGCGTACTTAGAAGGCAGTCCTGCGCACTGGTGTGATCACTGAAAAAAGTTGTAAATTTACGACATATATGGCGATGAATGCTTCGTAATTTTAAGAATGGCTCGTTTCATGCCACTATGAAAAAGTCATAAATGAAAATTATGAACCTTTCATAATTTTTTGGAAAAAGTGCTTGTAAATCCCCAAAAAGGTATTCAGATTTTACAAACCATTCAAAAAATAATGACTTTGTAAATTTGGCAGAATGCTAGAAGTGAAAAAACTGGAGTTGGTTCCGGTCAGTCCCCGCTTTTGTTCTTCTTCCTGTCCCTGCTATGGAATTTCCCTGCCTTGGCCAGGCTCCTCTATTTTTCCCGGGTTTTCTGACCGCACCCCCGTTGCCACCCTCCTAACAAGTGTCTCTGTTGCCAAAGCTATATATTGAACCCCCTTTGTAGAAACCATCAGTCTGCAGCCGACCCTCAACCTTGACTAGTCCCCTTTGTGTTCCTTCCAATAAATCCCCCAAACCCCTCCAGCGTTGTCACTCGCCCCACACTGCCAAACCAACAAAACCATTCATCGTTTAAATTATTCCTAAATTTACGATTTTTCTAGGGGAAAATACTGTACAAGAAGGCTCGTACAAAAATCTACGAAACATTCATAAATATATGAATGATTCGTAAAATTATAAATTATTCATACGCTTTATGAAAATTCGAAAAATTACGAATGGCTTGTGATGCTGAAACGAAAAAATTGGGGGAATGAAACATTCGGTTTCTGATTTTTTGAGTTTTCATTATTCGAACGAAGCATTCATAAAATAATGGCGTTTCATAAAAAAAAGAATGATTCGTCGTGAAATTATTCGAAAAACTATGAATTAATGGGGGAAAATACTATACAGGAAGGGTTTCCCTTTATAGGGTAAACTGTACAGTTACCGTCATTTAAGAGCATCGTTTTTTTTCAAGGGCCTCTAGGGTGGGTTATGACACTTAGATCCGTGCGACTTGTTCCAGACACCTCAGAAGGATCTAGACAACAAAGTGGCTGACAAAGATTTCACCAAAAACTTTTAGTGACGCTCTTATTTCCCCCGGAAAAAGGTTACCAAAAACACAGTTATGGGCAGCCAAATCATTTCGGCACCCTTTTACAGTTATCGGCACCCCTTGTTAAAAAAGCAAAACGTACCAAAGTGACGAAAATTTCTAACAGACCACAGACACTCTATACCACCCTCGACATGTCACAAACCCCCTCTCTCTTCTGTTAGCCTTTGCGCCCTTCATTTTAGACTCACGGACAACTAGCACCATGAGCTGCGAAAAAAAAACCTTTAAAAGCGCCGAGGAGGACATTTCGTAAATCACTAGATCACTGGGAAAAGTGGTCCGATTTCATTCAAATTTGGCAGGGGTCCCCCTATGGTCATAATGCATCAGAATATTAACCCCGGACGACGCCGAAACACCAGTGAAGTTTGGGGCCACCCTGACGATAACTGTTTTTGGGGGTGATTTCTCTGGTGCAGTTATGGGCCCCCCCAAAAGAGGACAAGCAAGAGGAATTTTGTGCCCCAAAGCACAGTATCCCCTCTTCAATAGATGGGAGAAGGACCTGGCAAAGAGAATTTTTTTTTCCGGGCCCCAAATTCACGAATTTAACGAAAGATTCAACCCTGTTCCGGGCAGAGAAGATAAGAAAGGCGGCGAAGCGGCCTCATTCTGCACTTAACTAGAAACATGGTCTTTTGGGCTGACGTGCTCAATCGAACGCGATGCTGTCTCGGTCCTGCATGCTCAAAGGTGTATCTAGCGACCTGCATTGGCCGCATCACTAACGGACGCGTACTTGCAGAGCAGGACAAATTATTTGCCGAGATGACGATAACTGTACCCCTGCCGATAACTGTATAGTTTACCCTATTACGACTTTTTTTTTTTACAGTGATTGGGCTACTTTTTGTCCAACTTTCTGGCACCACTGGTTTATATTTATAGATTTCAAAGAATGGCACGTAAATTTCGATGAGTTGGGTGAATTTTTGTTGTTCTTAGCGCCGCAGAAATCAACGACCTGCCTGATGAGGCTCTCCTTCACATCTTCTACCAAATCGACGATGCAGTCATTCTGGGGAAGGTCCTCCCCGCCGTTTGTCAGCGGTGGAGGAAACTGGCGTACAAAGCCGAAGAGTGGCGACTCATTTCGGGATACGTGAAGACCTTCACGACCTTTCCACCTGATTGTGTGCCTCTCCACCATAACTTGTACATCAATTTTTTCCTCTGGCCCACTGAACGACGAATCATCCCCGACCCCCGCGTTGTCCGTGACTTGGCTCGACTTCTTGCTTATGAAGATCTCTCAATAATTGAGGACGGTGTGCCACGATCCCTGCGCCAGGGGTACCTTGAATCGGTGTGGCGAAGCCGAACCCACCTGAAACGACTGGCCTTGGTATTGGACAATACGACAAAGACTGACGCGGGCCATAATTCTGTGTATGTGCTTTCTCGAATGGCGTGTCTTGAGGAACTGATAGTTTACCTGGAAGATGATTTCATTTACGAAAGGGGTCGACTGAAGCAATGTTTTCCCAATCTAAAGGCGATCGAGGTGGTCGAGATGGAGACCAGTCCCAGCAAGCATGATTTGATCAAAGACCTATTGGTGGAAAGCCTTGTCAGTGTTGAATTTCAGCCATGCTTCCCACCGAGACCAGACCTACTAAAGGCACTGGCACAGTGCAAGAAACTGGAGCGCCTGGTCGTTCACTGGGACTATGCCCTTGTCTTTCTGTGTCTGCCTGAGCTCAAGAACGTTCACATTCATTGGCCCTGTGACGATCCACTTCGGACGCACCAAATTGAGCAGGCCTTTGTCTCGGTGTACACGTCGACGCTCGAAATCATGCATGTAACAGTGACATGTGAAAACTGTGATGGGTTGACAAACGACGTAAGTAAGGCGTGTGAGAAAGGAGCGAGGGCCGTGGAAGCAATGGGATTCAAGGGAAGGGTAACATACCTAGTTCGAAGCGATGACCGGAACAAAGCGTTTGCAGGATGAAAATCCTGCTGGGAGACACGCAGCCTGCAAATAACACTACCCAGGAAAGGCTCTTCCAACGTGTTTTTTTTCTTTAAAGTAGCCGATTTCTTCCCGCAGCGTGTCTGCAAGCATGTTATAAAATGCGCGTTATTCTCTGCATGTCCATAACTGACGGTTTTATTATTGGCACTTTCTCTGCACGCCGGCTGAGAGATAGAGTTTCTGGTATCCCATCAGAGTGTGTCGTCCTCGGCCAGTGACTGCGTGCCTGTGTGCCACTTTTATTTCAAGCCCCAGTTTGTAGTTTTGAGAATTTTTTAAAGGTGCGTGTTCATAGTACTTCGGCACGCTAGAGACACAGCGCGTTTAGAAAAACGATCACTGCCGTGTCCTAGCATGCGGGAGATTAACGTTAATGGAACTTTGCCCTTCACTCATGCTTTTACGAAAAAAAAATCAGCAAGTTTCGAACTTGGGTCAGAAAAATTGACATGCAGGCAGGCACGCAGCCACTGGCCGAGGACGACGCACATTGATGGGATCGAGGAAACTCTATCTCTCAGCCGGCGTGCAAAGCCCTAGGAAATCACCCTTATTTGCAGGCCCTGCACAAGTAGGGAAGGACAGGCCCTTTTAAAAATTCTAATTGGGACATTAACTTTAACGTTCAATTGATGTGATTTGTGTAATTTCTTTTAGATTTAAGGGGAGACATCAAACCAAAATGATCAAAAATTGCAATTTTTTTTAATTGGTTTAAATTAAAGACCATTCTTTTCTGCGTCAAATGGTGGAAACCGCATTCCGAAATTCAAAAAAATTTCAGTTTGAGGAGGTTGTGGGCCGCAAACATGCATAGGGGAAAAGCCCAGTTTCCCCAACTTTGATCGCGTTTTTCTCGGAACATGAATTTGCAAACGGTTGCAGGCCTCTGGGGCGCAGTTTTAGAGCACAGCGGTGAGATTTAGCATGGAAGCTCCCACGACATGCCGCTATGGTGGGTAGCAAAAAAATTGGCATCGGTCAATCTTTTTTTTTTTTAACGGTCAAAATTGAAAAATTTTGACTCAAAAAATTGAACAATTTTTTTTTTTATGTAACAAATACAACTTTAAATGATTTTTTTAAAAGTGATTGAGGTACCCATCATAGCCAGACATCTCAGGAAGGCTGTCACCAAAATTTTGTTGTCCTAGGTCAAACCGTTTCGCGTCCAGCGCTGCAACAGTGCGAAATGGTCTAACCTAACACTCAAAAATGTATTTTCAACGAAAGCGCTGTAGTGCCCTGGCGGATTGACTTAGTGTTGTTTTATACTTTTATGTGAAAAAATGAACAATTTTTCTCTTTCCGTTTGGTTTTTATGACGTTTTTACAAAAGCACTGTTTGTGGAGTGATGCCCCCCTTTAAATGGGAAATTGTACAGTTGTGCGAGAATCCTAAAAATGTCACTAGGCGCCCCCTCCTTCCTTATCACTGATTAAAAGAATCTTATGCTGAGTCATTCCCATACTACGTAACCGATTTTAGGCCACATTTTGACCTTTATAGTGGCCAGGATAACCTAACCTTCAAATTAAGATAGGGCATAGTATTTGGCTCGACTCCTCCTCCTCCCCCCCCCCCCCTTAAATGGTCACGTAGTCTGGGAACGGCCCCCACATGCCCTGTACAACGATATACAATTTTTAAAAAAACTGCACTGTGAACATAAGTGTTTTAAATGTACTATTGTAAGTCAGTTTTAGCGAGTAAAAATTC